AAGGCCTTGATGAACTGCTGAAGCTGGCTTTGAGCTCTCAATCCTCCTGCCTCAGCCTCCCAAGACCTGCTGGGATTACAGGTGTGCATCACTGTGCCCAGCCTGAGTTTTTTTTTTTTTAAATTATTTGGGGGCAGGTACTAGAATCACCTTAGTTATCCTTCATAGATTACTAACCAGGAGCCAGGTACTGTCATATATACATGACGAAATTTACATATTATATATATTCATTTCATTTTCTTAGCATTAAATCTTCATAGCATGATAGGTACTTATACTCTTACTTAGGGCACAGAGGGGTTAAGTAACTTGCTCAAGGTTAAATAGCAAGTAAGGGGCAGATCAGCATTCAAACTCTACAAAGAGTCTGGGTTCATAACTATCACACCACACTGGCTCCAGATACTGTGTGTTTCATCACACTTTATTACTTAGAAATAACTTGAATTAAGTGATGTTAGGGACAACTCAGCCCAGACTGGGCAAAAAAAAAAAAAAAAAAAAAAATGGAAGCAGGGTGGGCAACACATGTTCCAATACACACTTAGGAAAAGGTCTTGCTTTGGCATCTCCAGGCCTTGGAGCAACTCATTACACATGGTGCTGGGCAAGAAGCTGCCCTTCCTAGGAGGTGTCCATGGAGTGGCAGGGAGCAGCACCCARGTGGGAGATAGTCTATGCTGATCCCAGCTCCTGGCCTAGGCCTGCCTGGGGAGAGGGAAGGCCAACACAGCTTTCCTTGTAATGCAGAGACCCAGCTGCTGTGGCTGGGGACTTGGCCTCCAAACACATTCTCTTCACAGAAACAAAGGCTTGACTCTGCTGTCATCTGTGGGGTGCCTTGGCCAGAGGGGCCCTCTCTGTAGTGGCTACTTGTGTTTCCTCCGCTGATGAACAGCCCTCCTAACATTCTAGCCCCCTCAGTGCTGGCTACAACAGCCTTCTCCCAGGCCTCAGTGTGGCCACATGACTTGGGCTTGGCCAATCAGGACTTCCCATCTCCCTGAACACGCTGATTGGTTCAAGGGAAAGGCATTCGTGTCCAATCAAAATTAACTCTGGGATTTTGCTCTAGTCTCCTGGGAAAAGTCCCCCTTTTCCACCCCTTTGGAGTTGTGGGCGACCATGGACCCAAATACAGATGGAGACTGACCAAATCTTGTCATAACTTGAGTCTCCAGAACCTAACCATTCCCAGAGCCTGTTGCCCAGTACATTTGGGTTGTTTAATGCTTTAGCCTATTCAAATTGGATTTCTTTTAATTACTTGCAACTAATTTCAAAAGGCCTGACTAATGCACAGTCGATTCATTCAACCCAGGCCAGATCTGAAAAGGAAGCAGTGCTCACCCATAAAGGGGTGCATGCAGGAATCAGAGCTCATAATTCAAATGCCAGCCTTTTCTCCTGTAGACTCTGCAAGTGAGGCCCTGCCACCAAAGTCAACTCAGGATCTTCCAACAGGAAGCAAAGGGTTAGTTTGTTTATGTATTTTTGTGGTTCTGGGGATCAAACCAAGGGTTTTGCAGCGTTAGGCAAGTGCTCTATCACTGAGCTGCATCCCAGCCAAAGAGTCAGTTTAAATAGCCCTTGGTCCTAATGAGACTCTAGAGCCCAAAGTCCTAACAGAAGAAAATACTTTTCTTTTTAGCTCCTTTGAAAGGTGAACATTTAATATGCCTTGTTAAAGCTTTCTAAGATGTGATCCAAGATGATGCTACACCCCCCATTTTTACCTTTGATTGCGTATCTTGTGCCTTGTTGATACTTATTAATAAATCCCAGGCTGGTGAAGTTGTATATACATCTGGGGTCTCTCTTGGGAGGGAAGGAGATATGTGATGAGGCCGCTGGGGCTTGGCCAAGCCACGGTACAGCCCGATGAATTCCCTCCCATCTCCTGGCACTTCAGGGAAAAACTGAGTCTCAAGGGAGCCTGAAAAGCTGCAGGCTTTCAGGTGCTAAGAGAAAMAGGGTCAACTGCAGCTCCTGGGGACTGGCTAGTCTCTGAGACCCAAGGGCTCAAGGGTAAGGGGCCCTCATGGGGCCAGGTTCCTAAAATACAAACTGGCTGAAGTCAGCACCGGAACAGCTGCTCCTACTGTGGCAAGGGAGCGTGCCCAGATGGTCCCTAGCCAASCAAGAGTTTCTAGAATAAAGGCCTTCCCAGCCAGGATTCCAGCTCAGCCTCTAGGGGAGAGCTTTCTGAGGGAGCTGGCTTTGCCTGAGGCCTGTCATGCCTGGTCTCCAGTGAATTTTGGTGGAAGACACATTTGGGATGATCCAAAAGAGGGCCACTAAAAAACAAATTCTGACTACACCCAGAAGGGTGCTACAGGCGCGCGCGTGCGTGTGTGTGTGTGTGTGTGCGGGCGCGGGGGTGCGGATGGGGGTGGCTGTCATGCAGTTATCAAGCGGGGGACAGTAAATCAGTCTGCTTTTCCAGGGTGCCATCGGATTTGAAGTGCCTCGTGCACACACGCCGGCCACGGCGCATGCGTATAATCCCAGCCCTTGGAGAGGGACTATTTTGCCAGGAGTTAATTGACCCAAAGCAGAAAGATGAAGGGTAAGGACGTCTACCGCAGCACCGCGGAGAGCTGTAGGCGAGCAGGACCCGTCGAAGACCAGAAGAGTAAATCGGGGCGCCTGATGGGAACTGCGGCAGCTGACCTTCGGAAAGGCCCTCCCAACACTGACGCACCACCGCTTGGCCCAGTGGTTTCAACCCGGTTCCGTCTTAGCCTCACCAGGCGAGCTTGAAATATATCCAATTCCAAACTCAGACTTAATCGGATGGAGGCTGCAGGCGTTGGTCACTTCCTTGGGCAGTCCAGGTGGTGGCAAGGCGCAGCCTGGCTAAGAGCCGCTCTGTCCTAACGTGGTGCGCGGGCGGGGGGACGGGGTGGGGGGGGATGTGCGGCGCATGCGCCCTGAGAGATGTCTGGCAAGGCGGGAGCCAACCTTCGGGAGTAGCTCTTTTTGGGAAGTGGGGATTTTAGCAACTTCTCTTATTTTTACCTCCATGAATCTTTTCTGATTCTACACAATTCTTGCTGCTCCTCTACCATCAGAAAGAAAAAAAGCATTTTTGTTTTGGAAAAGAGATATATGGGCCCTGGGGATGTAGCTCAGTTGGCAGAGTGCTTGCCTGGCATGCACAAGGCCCTGGGTTCAATCCCCAGCATCACACACGCAAGCACGCACGCACGCGAATGGAAGGACAACCTGTTTTYGGCTTTGGACCACCTCCAAAAAGATGGGGCTGGAGGTGTGGTACCTCCCAGACCCTCCATCACCCCTGTGTTAGCCCTGACACTACCGGCCTGGGCCCCAGGTCCCTTGAATCTCTGGATCTTCTGTGGATATGAATTATTGGCTACATTTTTACAAGAAATGGTACCGTGGGATTCCAAAAATTAGTTTTTTTCCCCTCCCTGTTCTGCTATGTTGAACTTACACAAGTTGCCTGATGTCCCCAGGGCCTCGGTTTCCACTCTGCAAAATGGGTCTGACAATCCTCCTATTTCCAAAAATACAGAGGCGCCCTGACGTGTCATTGAGATGAGACAGTAACGTGCTTTAAGAGGCAGGTACTTCTGTGGCGGAGTAGGCAAGCGTGTGGGCTCTGTCAGGAGGCCTGGGCTCAAGCCCTGGTTCTGCCTCTTGCACAAGTCACTTAGCCTGTCTGTGCCTCAGTCTCCTGCCTGCAAAACAGACCTCATGGTGTTACTGTAGAGATGAAAGGAGATGGACCACCGAAATGCTCAGAGTGGTGCCTGGCACACAGTGAAGTGGGCTGTCCTGGCTTTTTTATTTATTTTTGGGTACCAGGATTAAACCCAGGTGCGCCTAACCACTGAGCCACATCCCCAGGCCTTTTTTATATTTTAATTAGGGACAGGGTCTCTAAGTTGCTGAGGCTGACCTTGAACTCATGATCCTCCTGCCTCAGCCTCCCAAGCCCCTGGATTACAGGTGTGCGCCACCATGCCCGGCTGTCCTTGCTTTTAAGGGCCCAGAAATTTGGGTAGTGCTGGCTTTACTGCAAGAAGGTCAAACCAACACATTCAACAACACTGGGTCCTGACCTTCTGGGGAGTCACAGACGCCTCTGAGAATCTAACAAGGCGACAGACCAGTTCTCCGGGAAAACTTGACTGCATGAGTTTYCACCCATTTCAGTCCTTGCTACCTTGGAGTCCAGGGGTCTCAGACAAAGAGGATCCTCTCTCCCAGAGGAGCYAGCAAAGTGGTGGCTCTACAGGACCCCAGGAACTGGTTAGCCTCCTGGCCTCTGCCCACCACTTTCCCTGAAGGGGGTCAGCTGCATCCTGACCCCATCTTCTCCAGCATCCCAGGGAGCGGTCCCCAACCTGGGCCGACACTGCCCTCCCTGCTGCATCTTTCCACGACACGGCTTCCTTCAGGACAAGAAGAAAGGAGCTTGGATCAGGGTCACCTAGCAACCCACAGCCCTATCCAGAGGTGGCCACAGGTGTTCCCTCTTGTGGGTTCAGCCAGGGGACAGAGTCAGGTGGGACAGAGGAAGGTGGGTGGCCTTGAAGGAACTGCTGGCTCAGTGTGCTTCCTCCTGCCTGCAGGGGACAGACAGGTGGGCATGGTGCTGGACGCAGGGAGGTTGACCCAGYGGCACGACTGCGCCCCAGTCAGCAGGGTGAACACCAAGAGGGATCCCTGACAATCCGGAATGGGCCAGTGCCTGGCTGTGTGTCCATGGCACAGGTTCCTAGCACCTCCCTCTGTTCGTTCCTCTCTAGAGTGGAGACGCTGACAGGGCCAACCTCCTCCCCACTGAAGGGTAGGACAGGCTCAAGTTAGGGCGGTGCCTGGCAGGTCTGTGCCCGCCGCACTAGGCAAAGGCACTAGGCAAAGGCACCGTGGTTGCTGTTCTTATCTGTTGTTATTAATGTTGTAGCCCCGAGGCATCTACAGGTACCGAAGGAAAGGTCATTTTATTTCATCTCAAGTGCTGGGGACCTCGCCAACCCCCTTCAAGTAATGGTTCTAAGGGACACCTCTCAAGCATTGATGGCAGGACCCTGGGGTACCTGTATGGCATCCCCAGGACTCCTATGACCTCACCTTTGAACTCAGCTGAAGGAGAGAGTTTGAGGTTCCCAAATGAGTTCACCCCAGGTCCCACCAAATCTGTTTTTCTGCCTTGGCATCTGGTGGAATTTGTTCAGCCCATTCCCCAGGAGTTATGGCAGACGGTAAGGACCCTGGGAAATGGGAGGTGGTGGTGGTGGGTGCCCCGGCCTCCTGTCCTTCCAGGGCTGATTCAGGGGCTCCTTTTACACTCAGAGGCCCAGTTCTCCACCGCGGCCATCGGATCATCAATGCCCTTGGTGTGGGTGACCGACTCTCCCTGCCCACCCCCCCTTGCACGGTCCCCACCCAAGTAAACCACCCACATCCAAGCCCTTCTCTCAGATTCCACTCTCAGGGGAACTCAGCTGAGAAGCACATACAACCTGCCAGGTACCAGGGGAGCCTGGTGCTCAGTGGTGGTACTTCCCATGGTGGCTGCACGAGGTACATTTTCTTATTGTTTCTATTTCACAGAGGAGAAAAACTGAGGCTCAGAGAGGTGATGTAATTTGCTCAAAGCTGCACACTGAGAAGTGGTAAAGCCAGGATTTGAACTTAGATATGGAACTTCAGGGCCCAAACCTGAAYACTCCTGGTGACTGAGGTAGGGGAGGGGGCAGGAACATTCCCCCCCCAATGGTGTCCTGCATCCATCAAGAACAGGGGTTGCACCCTCAAACCCCTTTGGGGAGCCGGGGAATTCATGTGAATGTGGTATGGTGGCGGGTCAGGAGCCTGGCAGGGGGCAGAGAGCACTGGGCAGCAGGTRACCCCCATCTTGGTGCAGTCACCCCTCGGGAAGGGTGAGAGGCAGAGCCTTGGGAAGGTCAGTCCCGTGTTGCCAGATCCAATTTTTTTCTTTGCAGTGATGGGAAATCAAACCCAGGGCGCCTCCTGCATAGCCCCAGACCCTGACTTTTCAAAAGAAGCCAGAAAGCTGAATTTTTGTAATATCATGAGTAAGAAATTGGGAGGGGAGACAAAACAGCTAAATTAAAAAATCCATCTTTAAGCCAGTGTGGGCCCAGGGGCCAACGTCGGGGATTATTCTGCTCTGCTAGGACGGTGCCCAGGTCTGGGGCTGCCTATCTCCACCGGTAATAATAGTCTTTGTGGTACAAATGACCTGAGGTCCTACCCCACCTAGCTCTGCCCCTTCTACCTGCATTGTGCTCGTCCATGGAGAAGGCCTTGTTCTCCATGTAGGTCCGCGACAGGTGCACGTCCTCCTCGAACGCCGTCTCCCGCATTCTGGGCTGAGACGTGTCAAAGTAGTTGGGTGGGTTTTCCTGCAGGGGTGGGAGAAGGGTGCAGTGGATCTCGGGGATGGCGTGGAAGACGATGAAGACCCAGCCGTTGGCCGCCAGCGCGATGGCCAGGGTGGGGTCACTCCAGCTGTCCGCGTGCTCTATCATGGCGTTGCCGAAGAGGTACATGGTTATCCAGGTCACCCAGATGAGCACCGACAGGAAGGATGTGATGAGGACGAAGACCCCGTTCAGCTTCCACCTGAGGAACTTGCCACACAGCGTGAAGAAGGCCTGGGCCAGGGTGACCACGAGCAGGACCATGTCGTAGATGAGGGCCATCACGAAGTCCATGGGCTCGTAGGCGCAGGCCGGCTTGGAGTCTCGCAGCACCGTCAGGCCCAGCCACTCAGTGGCGATGATGACCTGCACCAGCATCAGGCACAGCGCCAGGCCCACCAGCTGCCAGCCTGGCGGGCTGGTGCCCTGGCGCACCAGCCTCCGGATGCGCCACGTCTGGCACAGCAGGCAGGAGAAGCACAGCGCAAAGAGGACCCCCCAGAGGAAGCGGCGCATCGAGCAGATGGTCTCGTCCATCCGGATGATGAAGGCGAAGGTCAGTCCAAAGAGGCCCAGGGTCCCCAGGAGGAAGAGGAAGTAGAGGCACACGGGCCTCCTTTTCTCCACGTCCTTGATGAAGGGCAGCCTCACCAGGAGGATGAGCATCAGGAGCAGTGTGATCAGGGCGCCCGCCCCGGCCACCGCCTCCACCACGATGCCCCAGATGGCGTCCAGGTCGCACAGGGACACGTACTGAGGGAGGAGGTCCAGCCCACAGCCCCGGGACGTGCTGGAGTTCTCAGAGGCCGCSGAGGGGATCGCCACGAGCAGGAGGAGGGCGAGTACCTGGTGGGTTCTCATCTTTCTCTCTGGCACCAGGAACGTTCTAGAAAAGGCGGGGGGGTTGGGGAGGAAGATGAATTCATCRTGAGGTTCCCGTTCTCCTGACTGCTTGAAGAAGACCCACCGTATCTCCAACCCTGGGCCCACGTGGTGCCCTGGAGACACATGGGTAAAGGCAGGTCTTGGGGCCCCTAGTGGGGGGGGACTCCGCCTGCCACCTGCACCCCCTCGTGTCTCGAACAACCGTGAATCATTGTCACTTGTGGCTGGAGGGCCAGGTGGGAGGGGGACTCACCTTCCCTGGACACTCTTTGTATTCTTTAAATGTGATATTCTGCACCACATCTAACCTCCTCAAAAATAGGGGACTACAACGAAACTTCAAGAGACGGCGGGGGGCCAGGCGCCGTGCTGGGGGGACAAGGACGGCACACATCAGCCCCTTTCCCACTCAGTACCCACAGCCAACAGTCCCCGATCCCACTCCAGCCAAAAACTGGGCCCACCTGAGCCTCACAATGCCTCCTCATGAGGCGGGTCCTATTGTGACCTCCATTTTACAGGTGACCCACAGGGTGCCCAGCAGGTGACACTGGCACCAGGTCMCACAACCCAACTCCTAGAAGCAACCCCTCTCAGAAGTCCCCCAGCATTGGGGACAGTCCAGTCACTCCTCCTGTACCCATGGAGTCGGCCCACCCCGGATGGAGGCTGTGGGGAAAGTGCGCAGACGTTTGTTCTGGTTACTGTCCCCTAGGTGACGTGCTAGGACAACTGTTTACATTGTGTAAGGCACTGTGAGTAATTTAGGGAGGACTGAGGGAGCCGGGCAGTGGCCTAGGCCCCAGGTGAGGGATCGGAGGGAGCCCTAGATGTTGGTATTGCAGACACCGGGAACTGTGRCACTTCTGTGGGTACCCAGGGGGACTGGCCACCGGGAAGGAGCCGTCGTCCTTGGCTCCCTGCTTCTGGCTCCCTCCAATACCCCATCTTCCTCCTCTAAGGGTTTCTGGAGGATCTGCCCTTCATTCCTCCCTCCCCTCCTTGGGAGGCCTGCAGGATCCTCCTCCACCCTCTCTCACCCCAGGCCAGCTGGACCCCACAGGCCAGCCTCCTCTTGCCCTCGGGCCTCCAGGCTCTGCTTTGAAGCCTCCGGCTGAGACCTGGGTCAAGGTCACCTCCCCTCCTCTCTCCAGCAGCTTCTGATCTACTTCCTTCTCCGTTTAATTGTAACTGCCTTTTTGGGTTTTGGTCTGTTTCAAACTTTCCTTCCCCCTCTCCTCTCTCCCTCTGCTGAAAGACGTGGCAGGGCTGGGACGTTCTCTCCTGCTCATCAGTTGACCGGGCTTTCTCAACTTTGGCATGATTGGCACTTGGGCTGGTCATCCTTGGTTGTGGGGGCCTGTCCTGTGCGTGTAGGATGTCCAGTAGCAGCCCCACCTCTGCACACTAGATGCCAGTAGCATGTCCCCTCTTCCGATTGTGACCGTCAATCCAAGATGTCTCTAGACACCGCTAACTGTCCCCTGGCCAGGGCAGGGGGATTTACAGGATGAGGACCACTGTCCAAAACTACCTGGCAAGAAGGAGCGCTCAGCAAACCCTGAGGGAACGTGACTTAGTCTGTCTCTCTGCCACCAGCTCCCTGCCTTTGAAAGGGGCCTGGGCATGAGACAGCCGGAGCCAACACCTCTGGGCTCGATGCTCATTCCCAGCCAGCTGGACCCCCGTCCTCGACTGAGCCCACGCRTGGGGTTGTAACTGGCCGTGTTCTCCACAGCATCCTCCTGTCCCCAGGGCTTCTTAAGTAAATGCAGTATCGACCCCTCTCTCTCTGCTCCTGGACGGAGATCCCAGGGGCATCTCAGATCCTGCCTTGGCCGTGAGGCCATTGACTGGCATCAATTATTGATGCTGCTCCAGGAGGCAGTGCCTGGGGTGGCGGGATCACCTCCTTTGCCTCCAAAGGAGAGAAGGCAAGCTCGGAGCAGGCGGCAGCAGGCGGCAGCAGGCGGGAGGGGCTCCTTAGAAAAGCATCCAGGCCTCCCGCCCAGGCAAAGGCAGGGGTGAGGACCACCAGCCGGCAGTCCACTCGCTGGAGCCTGGCCACAGCCATTTAGGTTGTGTCCACAGGTACAGCCTGTGCAGGGACTGGCTGGAGTGACTCTCAGTCCTTTACATCGATCCACTTAAAACCCAACACATTAAAATACTTCTCTCCTGACGTTTTAAAACTACGTGATGGCGTGACTCCCTGCACCCTCGCTGGGCATGTTCCAATGTCCCTCGGCAGAAACATCATCCGAGACAGAAATGCAGATCACAGGTCTGGGAATCATGCTTGGGAATTAGAATCTAAGAACTGGATCTGTCAGAACCAAATGCCACCAGTCCCTGACAGGGTAAAGGGGCCCGGGGGTGGATCTCATCAATGACAGCTCATCACGGCAAACTTGACTAGGAGAGGCCCAACCCCTCAATGCTCCTACCCATGTACCCCTAGGCCAGGGGGTCTCAACCAGGGACAATTTGCCATGGGGACAGTTGCCAACATTCTGGGACATTTTCACTTGTCACAATTGGGGACAGGAGCCCAACTGGATACAGGGACAGAGACTATGGATGCTGCTGATCACACACAAGGCAAAGAGCAAACTCACCGTATAGAATTATCCAGGCCACAAAGCCAGCAGTGCCCAGGCTGGGAAAACTGGTCTAGACAGGAGCAGAGCAGGAGGGGAAGACGGCAGCCCGCCTGCCAGGCCCCAGCCTCAGGCCTGCACCCCAAGGCCCTTCCTTGCAAGAAGAACATGGCCGTCTCTAACTGTGTCTGCTTACGGTCTCAGGAGAGGTCCTCCTCTTTCCAGGTCTGGCTGCGGATGGGACTTGGTTTCCCCAGCTCCTCCCTCCTCCTCCTGCTCCCCGCTGGGCCTTGAAGCCCCAACAGGAAACCTGCAGAGATGATGGGCGCACCATCACGGCGCCTGCGCTACCGAAACCGTGCAGAGTGTTCATGGCTGTGACCCCGGACACCAGTTCCTGCCTCCTGGCTGACACAGGAAATGGATACACTCTTGCTTTCTGCTTCCATTCCTGCAGGTGGAACCCACTCCTCTTTCCGGGACAGCTGGTGTTTATGTTGCCCGGCGTCCATTCTCCCATTTCTGGGAAGAGCTCCTGGTTTTCTTTGGAGAAGCTGCCTTGAGCCTCAGCACCCGGCCTGGACGTCTGGCCCAGGCYTGGTCAATCAGCCCCTCGGTCCTCCCCGTTGGCCACACTGACTGGTCCACAGGAAGGCAGATGGCCTGGACCAGACCTGTGGGAATCGACCCTGGGATTCTGGTTGGCGTTAACTGGAGAGAGAGCGTCTCTTTGTGCTGGCTGATAAGATGGAGGGACAGAGATCCRACGCTGGAGAGGGATACATTTCCCATCACAGGGAGAGAGCGGGTATGAGCTCACCCAGAGGAAATCGCTAAGTAAAGCACCCGAGTCCTGCCGCCTTCTCCCACGGCTGGAGCCATATGGGACAGGTGAAGCCGTAGCTGCTTCCCCAGGGCAAACTAAGCCAACTGGAGCTGGGATTCTGTCACTGTCAAGTCCTCAAATTCCCCCCCTTCAATCAGCCCCCCTTCCCCAGGAAGGCCTCCCTGGTCAAAATCTAAGTGCGTAGATGAAACTGAAGGCAACYGGGAGCGAGGAGGATGTCCATGAGGCGACAGCCACCCCACGCCACGGAACAAGGTGTTCCCCCGGAAGCTAAGGCCACTGGCTCATCTAGGATTTCCAGGGGTTTCTGCGTCAYGGACAACTATGGTCCCTGTGACGGTTCGGGCACCCTCCTGTGCACACTACCCTTGCTCCTTAACTCCCGGGGATCTAGGGAACATCCCTTCAGGGTGAGTACTTGACTGCCTCCATTCGACAGGAGATAACGCTGTGGTTCAGGGAGGTCAGAGGCTTGTCCAAGGTCATCCTTGGACAAAGGTGGAGCCCATTGGTGAACAATGGTACTACTGTTCCTGGGCTCTTTCTGCAGACCAGGGCTTTAGAGAGTGTCCCTTGGGGGAAACTTTTACTGGCCAGTGAATCTAAGTGAGTTTCTCCTGGCCCCCACCGCAGTGGGCCAGCTCCATGGACCACTGTCTTTGTAGCCTGCATCACGATTTTCCATTATTTTATTTTTTTGCTCTTTTGATCTCTTCCTCCCCGCTGCAGCCCAGGCTCTGGGCTGTTTTGTTCTGGTACTTAGTCGCTGAGTGAGTGGATTCATAAAAGCCATCTCTAACCCTACCGTCACCTTGCAAGGGTGGGTGTTCATGCCCAGTTATTTGATCACAGGATGCCCACAGCAGCAGCGCCCGGGAGCTCATTAGGAAAATAGATTCTCAGGGGTGGGTACGCTTCCACAGCCCTGCAGGCCACGCTTGGGCACACTGAGGCAGGGTGCACAGGGACACRACAGCAGGGGGCCATCTCCTTTCTTCCGCTTCACCAGCCCTGCCCTGAGCCAGACCAAGCAGTCAGTGCCCTCTCCCGGGTGCACGTGACCACCACCAGGTGAGCCCCCATCCTGGTAAATCAGCCACCTGGTGTCTCTCACCTGCAATAATCGGGCAGCTCTGCAGAAAGCCCCCAACCGAACAAAACCAGATTAGAGGTTTCAAGGCAGCTCCAGGCTGGCTGGCTGGGAGGCCAGGGATACTAGGCAACAAATCCGTGGGATGAGGGCGGGCGGCTCCTCCAAAGGAGTAATGAATAAATGTGAACGAGGCAAGACTCGGCGCACATACTAATTACTTTTGCTGCCAGCCAGGCTCCCAGAAATGTGACTCATTCAGATGTTCTTAAATATACTGCACAATACACACACACACACACACACACACAGGCGGCAGGCAGAGGCTGGAAAGAATGCAGGCAGGATCCCTCATGTGAGGACAGCAAGGTCTGCCCGGGTTCTCCAGCCCTGCTCCTTCCAGCGTGCTGTGAACCTCACAGCCAGACCTCCCAGTTTCAAATCCTGCCCCTGGGCTGCGGGTRCAGCTCAGTGGGAGAGGCTTGCCTGGCATGTAGGAGGCCCCGGGTTCCATTTCCAGGACCACAAAAACAACCAACCAAGTAAAAACCAAAGCAAGACCCCCAAAACCTAGCACTGTCTTGTGTCGCCTGCTAGCACCCTGCGACTCTGGGTAGCTGACTTAGTCTTTCTTGCCTCAGTTGCCTCATCTGCAAAGTGGGGGTGACGCTAGTGCCTACCTTGTGCGGTTGTGGTGAGGCTTAAGATAATTAATAATTAGAACTTAGGGTAGCAGTTAACATGGGGCAAGCACTAWATAAAAAATATGTTAAGTAMATAAAAAAGATGGGCAAATACTGGCTTGTCAAAGCAGCGAATTCTTCCAAAACCCATTTCCTAGGAGGGGCAGTTGCCATGGAGACGGAGATGGAAGAGGCTCCCCAGGAGTTTGTCCAGTGCTGGTGTCCAATCTCCCCAGCACACACTAAGCAAAGAGGTCTCGAGGTGGCATGAAGAGCAGATGCCTCTGGGGGTGGTCTACCCGGAGGAACCCCAAAAGCTCCTGCTCCCCCTCAGCAGCTGCTCTAAGCAGGAGCCTTGCTGGGAGGGTAGGACCCAGGCCCTGGGAGACCTAAGGCCAGCCTGGGGGCCCTGAAACCYGAGGTCCCTCTTGCAGAGGCAAAGCGGGGACTCCAGCAGACCAGACACTAGCCCTTCTCCCAGGACCCAGGATCCCCTTCTTCCCACCCGCCCGTGAGACCTGAGAAACAACAAAACGCACTCTGGAACACCCCGTTCTGACTGGCCTWGCCTGGGCTAGACTGCTCTCTGCAAGGGTTTGCAGGACTTTTGTTCTACACCCAGGGTCCCCTCCCTGTGCCTGGCAGGTTAGAGGCATCCCAACTCCACCCTCTCTAAAGATGGGGGGAGGCACTGGAACTGGGAAGGGAAAGAGAAAATTAGCAGGTGTGTGTGTGTGTGTGTGTGTGTGTGTGAGAGAGAGAGAGAGAGAGAGAGAGAGTGTGTGTGTGTGTTGGGGGGAGCTTTCCTAGCCCTGGGCATATTTAATAGTTCAGTACCCAGATGAATACCTGGCACAGTTTCCAGTCCCTTCAGGCTCCAGGAGAGTGGAAGACCTTGGTAGGAGGGAGGCCAGAAGAGGGGAATCTGACCGAACTCTGTGACATTGGGCATTACTTAACCTCTCTGAGCCTCAGTCTCTTTGTCTATGAAACAGGGTTCACCGAACAACCTTCATTAAGCTGATATGAAAAGTACCGGAAAAGTACTGGACTTAGGGCCTGGCACAGAGGAAGCGAGGGGTATCTGCTTCTTAAAAAGATTCTCGATTTCCAGTTTCTTGTTGGGACAAGGAAGGTAAAGAGGTAATGGGACTTGGTCAGAGGCTTACTGGAATTTACAGGCCAAGGTGGCACTAGAACCCATTTTCCCCCAAGATCTTGACCCCCCAAGGCCTTTCCATTGCACCCCTGTTCTGACCCTCCCCCATGTCTGGCAGATGCCCAGGAAGGGGCTGTGGAGGAACCAGTCTCCCCACCACCCCAGCATCACACGGTGTCCCGGCCCACTCCCACTGGGACCCACGGTGCACTTCCTGCTTGGCTGGATTAAACAGTTACAAGGTTTCCTGACATTAAGCTCTTTCCCAGATCCCACAGTCCCCGCCTCTGATATCTTTTCCAAGTTCCTAATCTTCATTTCCCAACGCCCGGACTAGACAGGGGCTGTTTGGGAGGGCTCTGTGAGGGGGGGCTAGTTGGGCTGGGGGGGGGGATTTGCAAGAACAAGCTCTATGAATATGCAAAGCAGCTCCCAGCCTCTAAATAAAAGCAATCATTTAAATGCAAATTGCATCCTTGGCTGCGAGTTCCACAGTGGCCCGTTCCTCCAGGGCTGTAATTCTAAGAAGAAAATGTGACTAAGTCCCAACCCCAGAAGAAGCTCTGGGCAGGAAGTGCTATAAGGCCTCGGTTCTGGTGAGGATGGATAAGAACTGCTACAAAGTGAGGAGTGGGTCTCCACAGCTCAGGCACACCTTCAGCTGGCTCAAAGGGCTGGCCAGGGTCAAAGTGGTCCCCACAGACGGTGCAGAGTCCCTGGAGGCGCCCTGTGCCTTGGGAGCTGWCATCTGTGGGTCTCCTTGTCTAGGTCAAGGGAGCTTTGAAAGCTCAGATCCCGAGGCTCTGCGCTCAGAACCCTCGGCTCAGAACCCTCCTCCGAGACTTCACTAGCCCMAACAGAATAAGCCCTAAACTCTTTTCCACCGCTGCAAAGATGGTGATCTGGCTGGTGCCCGCCATTCCCCCACCCCCACCCCAAGTCTGCCTCCTTGCCCCAGCCACCCGGGCCTTTGTTGAGCTACTCCAAGCCTCGSCTGGTTCAGTCTTTCCCCCAGATCTCCTTCCTGATGGTGGGCCCCCATTTTGCTGGGCTCCACTTAAATGTCACTTGCCAGAAGTCTTCTCATGTACACCCTTGTCACTTTCTCTTACATCACTCTGTCTTGTTTTCTGGGCAGCCCGGTGGCGAGACTGTGTGGTATCTATTTGCCATTCCTGTTTTCTTAGTTTTTCTTTACCGACCCCTTCAGTCCCCCCCCCCCCGCCCCGCCCCCAATAAAAGCAAGAGCCAGTCCCTTTTACACCCTGTTCTGGGACCAGAACATTTGTTGAAATTATATATATATAAAATAACCAATATCGATTTCGAGCTTATGTTTCTAAAAAAAACTGTGCCTCTTGCTGCCTGGGCCCCAAACGGCGAGTCCTTCCTCCTCGCATCTCCTCCCCCTCCAACTCCACTGACCCCTTTTCACTAAGAGCAGARAACGGTTTGGAAACAATGTTCACTCCACAGTTTGGATAGAAAACTGGGAGGGCTCCCCACCAACAGATGCCGATTTGCATTCTATTTACATGCCATTTGCATGCAGTTTAACTGAAGTCTGGCTACTCCCCCGAAAGCCCCTAGTCCCCACCGAAGAAACTTCTGAAAAACGTTCCTTGGCTGAAGCGCCMGGGATTTTGTGCCAGGCCCCTCCCCCACCTCTCTTGTCGTTGCAGAGACCCCCCCCCCGGTGCTTCCTGGGCTCTGCTCAGGTGCCCCCCATCTTGGCGCAGTCGGACAGCCAATGTGGCGCGTGTGCTGGGGCCCCAGGCGGGGAGGATGCTGCCCGCCACACTCCAGGGGCCTTTGTCCGCGTTCCAAGGAGCCGCCCCCTTAGCGAACCCGGGACGAGGAAGAAGGAATCGGCGAGGCCTGGGTGTGACAGAGCAAGGGCTGGGGAAGGATCCGCTGCACTGAAGCGTCGCTGGGGCAAGGTCGGCGCGCCCCTCCAGGGCTGGTCCAGCCGTTCCCCGGGGCGAAGCCTGGTGAGGGCTCCGGCCGTGCTCTGGCCTATCCGCCCAGGCAGCAGGGACACCGGGATGTGTGGGGTCTCCATGGGGCTGGGAGTCCATGTCCCCCCACAAGTGGGGACAYAGCACAGGGTTAGTGCTTATCTCTAGCTTGGTCGACCTCTCTCCGAGGCCAAGTGCCCCGTGTCTGAAACGGAAACTACCCCCTCCATTGTATGCAGCCTCCCCCCATTTGTCCCCCAGCCTCAGATCTTGGCTCGGTGGCTTTCCCCTGCCCTCTCCCCGCCCCCGCCCTGGCCCAGCAGTGCGCGGCCACCGCCGGCTACGAGACTGGCCCCCAGGCCCTGCGKCAGGTGCCTCTGGCTGCTCGCCCCCCAAGTCTGGCCCTTGCTCTTTGGGCTCTGTCCTGTCCATAGTCATCCCCGACCCGCCTGCCACGCGACCCCCGGGTCCTCTCCAAGGTTCTGCTCACACGAGTCACTCGGGCACGCCAGGACTGCCTGACGCTCCCGGCTGCCTTTACCTGAGGTCACCCCAGACCCTCCCCAGAGACTTGATCTCCAGTTGGAGTGGGAGCAGGTCCCCCTCCCCGATAAAGGTCCCCAGCCCCTCCTCCCCCGCCCCGCCCTCTGCGGCTCCTCTTCCGCCGCACTGGGGTTCCCCTCACCCGAATCCCTCATCTCCCCCCCGCCCCCGCAGATTAACCCCAGGAGGGGAGTTAGAGAAGCACACGACCAGGACCCCCGCAGTCTTCCCAAGCCTAAGGCGGGAAAAGTTTCTGGGGTCCCCGCAGCGCCCTCCATTGCGTCGGCGCGGCTCGCACTCACCGACCCCCGCGGCCCCGCAGCGCCGACTCTCCAGTTGGCCCTCGGCCGGAGTCACATCTCTGCAGCGCGGTGGCGGCCCCCGCTCCGCGCGCGCACGCCCGCCTGCCGATCCAGCCTCACTGCATTGCCCTAGCGAGCCGCTGCCGCGCGAGGCGCCCCCTGGCCAGGCCCGCGCCGCTGCAGCGACCGCGGCCCCGCCCCCGCCCCGCCGGCTCCGCCCCTGGCCTCCAAGCCCCGCCCCTGGCCCCCGCGGGCTGTTGGGTGCGAGTCCTGGCGCTGTCAGCGAGCACCCAGGCGGGCAAGCTCTCCGTTCCTGGCCCAAAGCGCTGAGATGACCCCCAGCGTCCGGCGTCCCCAAGGCGAAGACATTGCCCCACAGCCACAGTGCACCCATAAACGGTACGGACGCGCCATCCCCAAGTTGATCCATTTGCAGAAACATCCCCCAACCGAGACACACACACACACACACAC